TTTAACTTCCTGATCCTTGGGACATGGATTTATTGTTAAAGATTGCAAAAACTACATAAGGGGCTGTATAAGCAATGTCTGCATTGCAGGAGTGTGATATGTAGGAAAATTCAATAGAAAATACAAAATACTGCAGCTCAGGTACACCCAAGGGTATGCCCTGATCCCAATTACAAGGGGGTGGTGAGAGGTGAGGGTGGTCTGGGAGGGGTCACCACCACTGACTTGCGGTTCCCTCCTACCTCTATAGACTTAGACTTGAGACAGGCTCTTAACTAGTTACAGTATTTATTAACATATAATATACATAAATATAAAACTAAATATTATATATATATATATTTATACAAAGGACATTAACCAATAACCAAGGTCAAACTCTAAATAACACTGTGGGAGAATCACTCCCAACCACAACCCACAGTGAAAACAATATATATCCACAATGAACCCACAGCTTCCCCATCCCACAGTAGGGAACCCATACTCAATTAAAGGGTCACAAAAAATATAACAGCGGACATGTGATTTTACCCCCACAGAGGAACAGCTGCTTCTTTCTTTAATGCAGAACGATAGGCATCAAATGAGCCCCTACCCAGTTATGGGACCTAACGTTCAAGAAAAACCAACAAGGTGTTTTTCAGAAATTACTTTCTCCTATGATAGCACTATTTACCCATCACAAATAAACAGTTTCAGCAGCATCACACAATACATTTCAATATATGGCACAATCACAAACAATCTTAATAACATCTACTCCTTAATATAGTCCATGACCCATGGCAAGAGACAGTCCTCCTTCCAATAGGGTCCTGGGGGGGGAGGGGGGGGGGGGTCCAGGAAGCACCAGGAGCCCCTCCCCTTAGGGCCTTGAGTGGACTAGGGGCTGCTCACCCAGCCTTTTATCTGGGCCTGCCTGCCCCAAATGTCTTTCTGCTGTGGGACCCAAGGGCCCAATGACTCACGCTCCCTCAGGTGATGGTGGTCCAGGTGCAGCTCGCTGGGGACTCCTCCGCCCTGCCGCTGGACTGCCCCTCCAGACCTTCCCTGTGCTACTATGCTCCTCCCCACCCTGTACCCCACTCTGGGCGCCAAGGGCTCAGCTCCTCTCAGCTGCTGCACCACCGCCGCAGCACTACTATTTCCCCATACCCTGGCTCTTGGCACTGAGGGCTCTTTTAGCAAAGGCTGGGCCCTTCAGGCTCTGGCCATCCAGCCTCATGCCGGGTGGCTAACCCAAACAGCTTCCGCTGTTCCCTGGCTCTGCTCCCTCATGCACCACCCTGCACACCGTGGGACCTGGCCACTTGCCAGGAGATGGGGCCAGAGTCACTCCCAATGACCTTGCCCCATGTGCTGCCCCATGCATTTTGTAGCCCACTGGCCCTCTGGGGTTGCAGGCTCGAGCCGCCATTCGCAGCTCTCAGAGCCCAAGCTCCATGTGTCGAAATGTGCACGTTCAATTAAGGGCATGATTCAAACAAGCTACAAAGTTATTACACATTTTTGGTGGAATAATTTTGTAGCTTATTGTTTGTTTTCTCATTCCATTAATTGGTTGAACATGTAGCTGGGTCACAACTTAAGGTGTGATTACATGGTTAATCGTGCCTTAAGTGTAATGTATAGGGGGGCCTAAGGAATAGGATCAAGACCTTCCTCAAAAAGTTTGTCTTTCAACTTGGCTCCATCTCCTGGCATTTAAGCACAGCTTAAAAGAAAGCTTCGTGGACTCCACCAGGATCGCCTTGATTCTCTGAGATATGTGCATGGCATCCTGCCATGGAAGCTCAGCTGCCATGCTCTTAAATGAAACAACTTGATGTGTGTGTGTGTGTGTGGCAGGGGGTGCTTAGATACTGATAGCAAATGCCCGTGTGGTCTCAAAAAACAACTCAGACATTTGTTTTGATATGTGTCAAGTAAGACCATAGGCCTGATTTTCCTCTCAGTCACACTAATGTAAATCAGCAGTAACTGCACCAATGTCAGTAGAATTTCACTGAAATAAAGCTGATATAAGCAAGAAGAAAATTAGCTTCTCTATTCAAGTGATCCCATTTGGCAGACATCAGAGCCATCACTAGGTGTTTGAATGACTATCCCCAGCAATATGCCCCTTTCAAACTTGTGAGCTTTTTCTATACCTATCACACATGGAACAGAAAGAGTCACTTTCTGCCAGATGTGCACAGATCCTACAGGCTGTCTCCTGACCTCTGTGGAGGCAAGGATGTGAAGGAGCACTGGTGAGCTCTGCATTGGTGCTGGAGCAGCACAACTGTGCTTTAAAGACTATGACTTTAAAGAGGTCTTCCCAGGCCCAGCCAGGTGACACAGATGTGACCTCACCCCTTGACACATTTATATGAACAGCTATTGGTTTGACTGCCACAAGCAATCATCTTCATTAGGTGCATGTCAGTAGTAACCTGTACACTACATAAAACACACAAAAAAGAAATCGCTGCCCAGAAGATCTTAAATTCTAGATCAACTTCTTAAGTTACTGTAGTATATTTGTGAAGACTCAAGTCATGCACCAAGCTGTGAGTTAGCAGCAATGTTTGGAAGTCCTTAACTGAATATTAGGAAGCCCTTGGGCTATAATTTTCCAAAATGCATAAATATAGTGCCTAACTCCCACAACACCTTTACAGGGGGCTTGACACAGAGGGTAGGGTAGCACACATCTCATTTTGTAAGTAGCATAGATCTCAGTTTGTAGGTCAGCTAGAGACCAAATGAAATAAAAAGAATGTTAAATACTAAACTCATTGGGCCTCACAATCCCACACGTGGAACTTGTTAAAAAAATAGGATGGGCAGGTAAAACTCTATATTGGGCTCTATAGATCCATTGGCATTTTTGGAGAAGCAGCAAAATCAGACCATGTATCATCTTAGTTAACCCTCATCATTACATGGTATCTGAGCATCTCCTTTTGTCACCATTATGACCACAACATCCTCGTGAAGTACGAGGAATCTCCCATTTTACAGATGTATCAGTCACAGACACTGGTAAATTAAGCCTCTCCCAAGGCATATGAGGAATCTACAATTCAGCTCAGAACTGAACTTAAGCCTTTCCAATCCTAGTCCTGTTGCCTAAGCACTGTACCAGCCTCTCTGCCCCTTTAACTACCTCTGGATAGCTCAAGCACATTAATAATTCAGAGATTTTGACCTAATTATCTGCTGTTGTACTGGAAAACATGTCCTTTAACAGAGAAGAGGCAAAAAATTGCTTGAATGCCTATGAATAGAAAATAAATTGTGCTAAATATAATTTCCTGGATATTCAGAGGAATAAAAAAATAAAGTGACAGAGATAATCAGTCAGCGCTTGTAACGGCTTTGCATCCTGTCCCTGCTGATCAGAGGATACTGCTTACATTTCACTCATCCTTGCACCCTTCTTCAAAGCAGAAGCATGGTTAAGACAACAATATTCAGCATTCCCTCTCCCTTCATTGCATTGCTTCATGCTGGGGGGCAGCCTCAGCATTTTTGTTGCTGCCTTTGGGGTTGTTTAAAAGTCTGTTTACTGACTCCAGTTCATTCCGCAAGGAGAAAGGAAGATAATGAGCTCACCGAATGCTGAGAAGCAGCCTTCCCCAGAGAAAGCAGCAGCGATCATCACATCAATCTGCAGATGTCATCAGACACGCTGTAATGACCATCAGCAAGTCAACAGAAGTCAGAGGAGAAATTAAATAAATGGAGAAGACAGAGATGGTAGCTTATTTGTTTGCTTTTCTCTTCCTCTCCACAGACTATACCTTCAGGTAACAGCTTTATGGGAAACAGTCAGATCAAATTTATAATCTTTAAGACCACATAAATTCATGTAATTCTTAATTAGGTTTCCCAAGAGCAGGAGAGAATATACAGTAAAGCACTTTGGGTAAGACAGACGGAGTTACAAGGAATGAGGTCTGAAAAGAAAAGAAAGATCAGTACTTGATTCATAGTCTGCAGAGGATGAGGTGGGAGCAAATGCACACATGTGAAGTTGTGTCCAATTGTCCCAGAGCATCATCTTTATGTTATTTCATACTTTTGTCTACCTATATATAAGCACTGCCATTCTGCTTTCATAATCTGAGATATAGCACACACAGGAAGCTCTAGATTTACTGTTCTTCTGAAAGGCTAGAGTGGATAGAGCCATAAGAAGGGAAGAATGGCACAAGGCAGAACACTTTTGCCAAGTCATACACAACATAGACAGCAGTGTTGAGTCAATATCACGCAGACACCAAGGCAGGTTGGATGTACAGAATAAGCTGCTTCTTCCTTACTTGAATTTCAAAGTCCACGTTCTAACCGCAAAGAAGCATAACTCCAGTACAGTCGATGGATCTTAATTTGATCCCAAATCTTTGGTCTTCAATGCCACCTACAACGGAGGTACAGTGTTATTAATCTATCTGCAACTCCTCCTATGGAGTTCCAGGGGTTAAAAGCCACCCTTCTTGAATTGCCTAGAGTGATTCACCTCTGCATTATCTGCCCCTCACAACTCTCCCTGGCCAATGTCACAACATGCTTCTTACTGTTTAAGATGTAAATTATACAGTGCACAGAGCTTTAACCATTACATTTCCCAAATTTGCTTCCAGCTAGGCAGCCTCAAGCTTGAATGTAGAGTTTTTGCATTACTCACTCTGAATTCCCTGGAAACACACATTTAAGTCACTCTATGGAAGATGGAGTCTCAAAGCAACACTAAAGAAATTAAGCCATGTCTCTCTCTGATGAGGGGCATTCCAGGAGCCAAACCCCTTCATAAACTGAACCTGTAACTTTATTTTGGTGTACCTGCCAACCTACTTAAGAGACAAGCTGACACGTTTATGCTAATCTTTATAGCAAGTCTGCCAAATAACTTTCTACAGTGATCTGGGGTCACTTGTAATCAACATCAGCTTCTGGTAAAACAAGAATAAGGATCTCTAGAGAACAGCAATAAGTAATTCATGACCTACCTGCATCTCAACCACAAAGATCATCAGAGCAGTCTGAGTTCAGTCAGGCAGCAGCAGTCTGTCATCATGCCCACCCCTTTGCCCTTTTAAAAATACAGAGACTGTCTGCAGCATGAGTGGAGCCTCGACTGCCTAGAGGGGAAATGAATGACTCTGCACTTGGCAGAAGTCTCTGGCTGGTTGACAGTGCCCAGTGCTGAGTCATTGACCTTGGGAATCCATGTATATGGCAAACTGACAACCTGAAAAGCAAGTTATGGGGAATAGCAATTTCTGGAACTACTGCTCTTCTCATTTTGGCTAAACAGAGCACCAGGCCAGAGTGGAATCTTCACAATTCCTCCAACATCCTGTTTTGGACATAGAAACAGATCATCTAAGAAGCCATGTATATTTGTGGCTGGAAGAGCCAAGATTATGCTCTTGTATCTGCAGCCTTCTTTGTCCTTTGACAGAGCCAAGTAGGAACCAATGAGTTTTCAGATCAGAATTACAGCTGGCTGGCTGACACAGCAAGTCTGTGACTTAAGGTAAAAGTTATAGTATGGAAGCTCTTAAGAGCTGCATATGTTTTTGCATGGCAAGGAAATAGTCTAGTCCTGCCAGTCATCATTTGTTGGCCTGAGGGACCTGCTACTCCCCCCATAAAATATAGATGAGGTTGTAGCCAATTCAAATTCAACTGCAAAGTTGTGAAATTCTCTCGCCACTGCTCCACCAGTGCTAGTAACAATGGGAGTACCAGTAAATCCATGAGAAATCCATGTCACCACACCAGCCTAGCCTGCCCTGAACATGTCTGTGAGTTGTTTCATCACAGATCTCCACTTGTGACAGCATCCTGTGCAAAAATGAGAAACTGAGAAAATGGGTCTGGAGAGAAAAACCAGCCACAAGATCCTGAATTCCTATTCTGGTTCTGCATATAGCATTGCGCCAACCACATTACATCTCCATCCTTCAGTTTCCGCATCTGTAGGGCAATGGTTTGGGGAGATCTGTCAAGGAATGGATAGGAACTGCTTGATTAATAAGAAGGCAAAGCAAGCTTCTTTCTAGGGTAAAATCTAATCTTGTGACTAGCATCAGGTATATAAGAGGGAGAATAGAAGTAAGCAGGATGGAAGCTGTCTGACTTGCTCTGACTGGTTAGAGATTGGGAAGAATTTTCTGACTATTAGCATGGTTACACATTTGAACCATCTGCTCAGAGTCATGGAATCTCTTTTCTTGAACATTTTTTAGAGCAGGTTAGACAGACACTTGACTGGGATGGTTTAGTCAGGGATGACCTGCCATGAGTACAGGGTTGGACTAAATGACTTCCTGAGATCCTTTCCAACCTGTAGTATTCTATGGATCTATGGTCAAAGGAAAAGGGGAGCTATCTGGCCTGCTTCAACCGTTTCGCACCTGGCACGCAGATAGACACCATGAAGTAGCAAAGACTATGCCGTCTGTTAGGACTTTTCCTATAACTCTGTGCAGGAACTGCCCAGATCAGACAGGTTGGCAGGAAAAAATAAAGCTTTCCAGGAGTTTCTGTCCTATCTCTAGAAGAAAAGACTAGCTGAAACAGTGGCATGCTGAGCAAGGCAGACATGCATCCCTTCTCATTTTTATCCCATGTCAACTGCATGGAAGTACCAAGAAAATGACATGGGTTAAGTACAGACAGTCAAAAAGCCCGAGGCTGAATCGATTCAGTCTTTGCAAGTTAGTCGAAACTACAAAGATTAAACTGAGAAACAAGTGGACACGCATTTACCTTTCTTTCAGGAAATGCAGCCACATGCCTGTAGTGGCTCAGGCCAAAAGCCAGGGGGCACTAGAGCACAGCTCTCTGGCACTTCCTCTTCCTACTGCCCCCAGGTCTCTGGGATTTACAGTCCAGCATCACAGCAGTACAACTCTGCGCAGTTGCTCATCACTTCCTCTTCCTGCTTCCAGGTGCCTCTGGGATTTGTAGTCCACAGTTGCAGCCTGGCCTAGGGGTGGCTGTCCCTGCCTCTCTCTCCTCCCCCTCTCCCTCAAACCATTCCCTGTTGGAGCAGACAGCACAGCCCAGCCCAGGGCTGGAAAGCATGCTAGGATGCTGGGGGACTCTGATTTAATTTTAGCCAGGAAGGGGTCTGCGACAGAAATTTCATAAATCGGTTTGACCCAAATCAGTTAAGTCTAATATTGCATTCAACCAGGTTGATCTTAAAAGTTTCTGCCATTTTGTATCTTGCTCATGTGCACTGAGCTTCTGTTTTGTTACAGGTTTAAACCAGTTTCTGATGACTTAAACCAGTTTATGTATACCTTCTGTCCCCGACCATAGTGCTCTGTAGCCTTCCAGCTGGCTAGCAAAGCTGAAAATAGGGCATGGAATCCTGGCTGCACTGAATTCAAAGGCAGATCTCTTAATGAGGCCAGGGTTTCCCCAAGAACGGAACGTAAATAAAAAGAGTCCAGCAGCTGGGTAGAAGGAAATTAGCACGTTACCAAACCTGAGGAAAAATAAATTGCTGGGGCCAGTTGTTCCTCTACTGAAACTGGGTGTCCCCATCTCTTTTGTCACAAATCTGAGTGAGAGAAAGTGCATGATACTACATGCAGAGGCTTGTGTATCAAATGGCAAAAGGCAGAAATGCCAGAAGGGCCTCTAAGGATTGTGATACCTGCCCAGCTTTTAGCCTAGGAGGTTCACAGATACTACAGGGTGGGGAGGTTTTTCTAAAATGGACAGACAGTTTCACTAGCAAGGGGGTGGAAGTTCTGCTAGACCTGAAGCATCCTCAGTTTTAATTCCTGCTCTGTGCTTGAGCTCTCCAAGGCACTGAAGCTTGCACTGTGCATCAATGGCATGAGCAGACATAATTGTTCTCCAGATAAATAACATCATGACAATTCAATTAAAGAGATCTTTTTCCAGTGACTTTTTTTATACACTTAGCCAGCATCTTAATGCATTTAAAATTATATTAGTAAGCTGCCATCCATTTTTATTAAATGGAATAATGACCATTAACCCAGAGGGGAACATTAGTTTGATAGCTGCTTGCTGCATGTTTTCATGTAGAACAAACACAGTCATATGGGACCATAAATTATTTAAATAAATCTGCATTTTTATCTCTTTCACTTAACAGAAAATAGTTCCAACTGAGTGCCCTGGAACTGAGTGAAAAGGAGGAAGGCATTGAAGGGAGTTGTGTCAGAGACATCAAAGACTGATCAGAAAGTCAACACACTAGTCATGGAATATGTTCTCTCAGTGCCTAAAATATAGTTAGGGTCACTGTTTGCTAAACACAGGTCTATAATTTCCAATGTGCAATGATTGTTTCAAAGGTTTATTTAGTAAAACAGGAACAAGCTTTAAAAAAAGAGAAAGGTTCAATAAGCTGCTTACTCTTCACTGATCTTACCTTTGCAGCATCTAACATTATCAGCTTACATTTTCATTTGCACCTAGATAGCAAACATATCAGGGCTACATGCTGTTAAGCACTGTTCTACAAACAAAGAGCAAGGCATAGTAGGCTACAATGCAGAAGGTAAGACATAAGAGGTCTGATACAAACAAGAAGGTTAGAATGGGAGATGGCATGGGTTAGCCAACAGAATTAGCAAGATGTTCATGATTCTTAGCTAATCAAGAGCAGAATAAGAAAACTGCCACCTCCCTGGCCATTAGCAAACTGGAGTTTTAGGTATGCATAAACAAAGACACAAGTTCTAATAAGAACCATGGAGGATAGTAAGATAGAAGCTTATGGATTTTGAGTAAGAGCTTTTCCCCCTTACATAAGAGTGGCAAGGGAGAGAGCAAAATGTCCTTGTGGGAGAAACATGGAATTGAGGTAGTCATCAACAGGACAAAGCTAAATTGTGAAGGACAGTGGAGGAACTAAAAAAGACAAAGACTTAGAGAATTGCTTAGGAAAAGAGGTTGCACCATCTGCAAGGCACATAGCAGATGGGGACCTGACTTACAATATTTTACCCTCCATGACCCACTAAGACAACACTGGGGGGATGCAGCTGCCTAAGATGAGCTGCCAAATACTAGACAACAGGAACAAATGATTTTAGGTGGTGGGAGCACAGCTGTGGGAATTTCTGAGCTCATGCCTCATGGCGGGAAAACAAATATCACTTCAGTAGCATGGGGAGAGGTGACTCATACAAACCTAAAATAGATTACGTGGGCACTGGCTTTGGCAAAAACCTTTCCCTGCCAGTTCAATTCTGGTGGAACACAACTGGGTTTGCTATGTCTGGCAGCCTTCAGCATAGGATGTGATATATCTCTCCTCACAGAAGAGATCGTTCCCTATTTTGAAGCTATATCTGCAGAGATGAGATTAGAATTGCTCCGTCAATCCTTGTGATGAATGCCCATCAATGAGAAATCATGTTTCATAAGAAACAACAAACAAAAACCCAGTCCAAATGGAAAGAGTACAAATGGTAACATTTTATTTAACATTCTTATTAAATACAAATTGTTTCTTCTAGCAGTGGAAAAAGAAGGATTTTATGGATTTCACTAGAAAGGCAGAAATGCTTATACCTCACTCTATAACTCAGCTGACAGATTTATTGTCCCTGTGAAGGAAATGGAGAAATGTGGTTAAATGCTTTCCAAAGCTCAATAACAAGCCTTCTGTAACCAGATTAGAGAACACTGAGGATCAGTTAAAATTCATTATGTATGCATAAGCAGGAGGTTTATGCAGATGAGAGATACTTTCAGCAGGGGAGGAGGAGAGTAAATGATATATGATGGGACAGCTGCCGTGGGCCTAACCCTCTTCAGATGGTAGCTGCTACACTTTGTTTGTTTTCTATATAGATGTAATGGTTGAGGAAAGCATCCACTGGAAGAAATTATGCAATTCTGTTTATCCAAACAACTGGGACAGAACAGGCAGGGCTGGTACAGGTTTCCCCTGATCATAACTCACCACAATGTCTTAGCTTTGAGGGATTGCTCTCTGCATAAGAGGGCAATTCAGGTCTCATGTGTAGGTTTGCCCTGAGCCTAAAGACAAGCATGTAGTTGTGCTGTTCAAGGAGC